TGCTCCATCCCCTCAAACAGCTCCCGCTGCAGCCGTGCCACCGGCGCCGCCAGGACCACCTCTGCCCGGAACACTGTGCCCAGCCCGGGGAGGGCAGCGCTGGCCACGCTGGCCCCGGTGTCCTGGGAGAGCAGAGAGCCTGCATGGAGCCCCTCGCCCAAACCCACCCCCAGGGGCACCGGCTACGCGCTGAAATGCCTTGCTAATAACTCATCCCCCTCCTCCTTTTAATCACTGGTCTACAGTCGAAAGCTATTCTATCTAAATCATGCCACTACCATTGCTTTATTTTTTTTATTTATTTTAAGCTCCTTTCTAGCTAAATTAATTCAGCAAACAGCTTAACGAACAAATGCCGAAAATAACAACCAAGCTGCTATCTGTTGGGTTTTCCTGCAGAAACGCTCCTGGCTTTCCCTCCCGGGAACACCATTATCCCAAGTTTCCCCCTCCATGCTTTTTCCCGCTGCCTATTTACTTTGCAGATTTGCTTGCGAACGCGCTTGACAAAGGCTGGCTTGGAAACCCTCTTTGCCCCGCATGCTTTGGCACGGCACGTCTCCTGGAGCGCACCGGTTCCCTCCAAGCGGGAGGAAATCTCCCTTCCCCAGGCTCCTTCCTCCCCCCGAGAGCTTTTTTGGCGTGGAGCAGTAAAAGGCAAGAGGCAGCCGGGCTTTACCAGCAGCATTTCTGCCTGCCAGCCGACGGGCTGCTGCAGGATGCTCAGGGCTCGCTGCAGGGCCCTTTCGCCCTGGGCGATGAAGGAAAGGTCCACGCTGGAGAAGCAGCTGGGGCCGACGTCTCCGACCGTCCGAGGACAGGCGGCTGCGGGAGCAAGGCAGAGCGATGTAAAAATCCCCCCCCCTCCTCCCAGCTTTCGCCTGCGCACGGGGCTGCGGGTCCAGGAGCACCAACGGGTTTGCTGACCCCAAAGTCCCAGCTTTCACACCGCCGGTTTCCACCACGCAACTGGTCCCCTCTTGGGCTGGGGGACGGCTCGGTGCAGAAAACCCCCTGCCAGGAGCATCCCTGGCATTCAGTCACCGCTGACTGGCTTGGACAGCTTTTTGCAACTGCTTTCCAAATCAATTCCCGGTAACGCTGCGGTACAAATTGCGCCTTGCTTGGGTATTATGGACGTTGCATAGGCAGCCTTCGGACCAAGCCACGCGCCGGAGAAAAGAACAAGGTGAGTTTGCCAATTTTCAGGGCTTTAGGTAAGTGGTGGAACTGGAGACAGAGCAGGCACGCGACGGAACGCCGGTGAGTGCCTGTAACCTCTGCTAAAAGCTTTGGCTGCCTGCGCCGTGAGCCAGGGCAATTTTCCTTCCCAGAATCTCAGGGTTTCCCCGCTTAACCCAGTTTGCCATCAGGACTGGGAATGCTTTTAAGCTACCAGAGAGCTGGAAAGCAGCCTGGCAGTGAGAAGGCAATTGGCTCCGTTCCCCCAAAATATGGGTCAAATCATGCAGAGAGGGGTGTGTTTTAATGCACATCCCTCCATCGTGTCACGGGGGCGGGGGGGGGTGAGCGGGGCTGGGAAACGTGGTACCCAAGCGCCCGGGCTGAGCTTACCTGTCTCCTTCCCCACCAGCCTCTGAATATAACGAGGAATTTTGGAAGGCAGGCGACGGGATCCTCTTAGCACCAGCCCTCTCATGTCCCTCTGAATTGCCGCCAGGGCTGTCACCTTCAAGCCTAGGGGGGGGAGACGCGTGGGCTTTGGTGAGTACGGAGCATGCGAGGAAGATGCCGTGGTGCCCCATGCCTGCGCTGGAACTTTCTTTGCAGCCAAGACCAAGCCTACCGTAGGCATGACACAAGGTGGGAGGAAAATAGATGCGTAGACCGGACACTTCCAAGGGGATGCCCCCGGGATGCAGACTCAGCATCTCCTCGCGGAGCCGCTTTTCCGCCTGTTTTTCCCGAGGCGGGAGGGGAGGCGAGCGGTGCTTACCGGGCAGGCGGCGGAGGTGGTCGTGGGCGATGCCGCAGCACAGCTTGACCTTCTCTCCGAATGAGCCGTCCCTGCCTTGCCCTGGGCAGACGGCTGCAAGCGAACGCGTCCCCGGCTGAGATGGGACATGTCCGTGGTCCCCAGAGCCACTTTATCGAGGGCTGTGGTGGCAAAGGCAACTGGTGGCATCTGAGTGGAGGGGAAGGATGGGGTGGGAGTTGAGAGCAACATGGGCTTGCTCTTGGGGAGCGTGGAAGTAAAGCCACGCTCGTGGAAAATGGTGTTTCTTCCCATGGAAAT